ATATATATATATATATATATCAATCTGACACTTGATTTGAGCCAAGAAAGTTATTCCAATATATTTTCTGTAAAAAAAAAAAAAACAGAACAAATGCTTAAAACTTCTAAGACTGAACTTTATTTGGTAGCTTTCATATTACAGTCATGTTTCACTTGATCTCTTCTTCACATTACTGTGAAGAGATTGTATCATCTGTTATCATCAGCAGCACCAGAAGACATTCATCATTCATCATCTTTTCCATCTTGCTCTTCTACACTTTCATTGTTTTCACAATTACATTATATTATATGCACTTGACATGACACTTTCATCCAAAGCAACTTCCAGTGCATTCAAGGCATACATTTTATCAGTGCACTGTACTTATGTTTTTCCTTCATTTATTTTGTCCCTGCTGTCCACTCCCTTTGCTGCCTATTATTTGTAGCATGACTGAATTTTTAACTTTTGCTATGTACCTCACCTGACAGAATCTTCTTGGGGCCCCAGACAAACTGTTCTTGGGGCTTGAAATACTTAATGGCAAATCTAATCAGCTCTCGTCTTTCTGATTTTTCCAAAACAGCAAACAAAGTAATCTAGTACACTTTGTTTTAGACTTTGAAGGTGTCCGACAAGGGTTTCATGGAGGAAAAACTTGACCAGTGGGGCCTGGTAGTGCTTCAATCCTAGAGTCCCCAATCACTTCACTGCACAAACAAAGGTAATGTGTTTAAGAGCATGCTTTCTTTGAACATAACTTGTATTAGATAAAAAAAATGTATGATTTACCTACAGAATGAGCACAATGCCATACCGTCAGGTGAAGATTTTATTCGACCATATTAAAATTCTAGGTTATAGAAGCAGCTCTTGAGAACAAATAATAAAAAAAAAAATACTGTACAACCCGATTGGCAATCATCTTCTCCAATTCAAGACTACTTAGTGGGCTGTGAAACCAAATAGAGTTTTGTGTAAATGATACACTAAACCCACTGACATGCTAGAGGTGGCAAATTCTGAGTGTAATAGTAGATATAGTGGATTTCTTACTTCATATGGCTCATCATCATCACCATCACCATCATCATCAAAGTTCTATAATCACACTGTAACCGATTTTTGTAATGTGAACAGTATTATACTGTAATATGTACAGTAAGATACTGTAAAATGTGTATACAATATTTTACTGTAAACCGCAAAGGATTATGGGAAAATATACGGTCACTACTGTATTTCCTCACTACTGTAAATCAATTTACAGTAGTGAACTTGCCCACGAAAAACTGACCAATGGCATGGGAGTTCTTTTTTGGCTGTTTGGTGGAAGTGGCCCTAAAAGGACAAAAGATGCACTGTTAACTCAACAAAAGGTTAGTATATTATTTCTGTTTTATGCAAAACTGCGATATTTTAATATGTTTTCACTTGTTAACAGCAAACTAACATCATTCATAGTGTCATATTTTATGTTGGGAGTTGGAGCCTTTTTTTCTGACTGACGGCCGGAATGCCGCCAAAAGGCTGATAACATCGACTGGTGAGTAAGTTAAGGTCACCTATATTAGTCGAAATAAACCTTAGTTAAACCGAGAAACACATTTGTATGTTCTGCTGCCCTTTAATGCAAGTTAGCTCCTCTGGTGAGTCGCTATTTAACCTTAACAGCGAATTAACGTGAAATACTGAGGTAAAGTGCGTTAGGCAAACCATTGTTTCAGTGGAGATTTTAAACAATATTTTCTAGTACTTCTTTTGGTTGTTATTTTTAGATTTCTAGTCTGGATGTAGTCTGGAACGTCGGAGGTGTATTTTGGATCCTCCTCTTGTGAATGTCATAGTATCGATGATAACATCAACTGCTAAGTTAATAATGTCAGTTAGCCGAAGTTAACTAACTTAGTTGAACAAAGAGAAGCATTGTAAGTTATCTTCTCTACTCTGCCTCTTTATCGCAAGTAAGGTAATTCTCTTCAAATGCTATTTAAGTCAGAGTGTGTACGTCGTATGTAACTTTAGAGACGGTCCCTAAATTCAGTGAGAGACGTAACGTTAAAATAAAATAGCGAGCTAACAACCTACTGAGGAAAACTGAGCTAAGAAACACCACTGTTAAGAACATCTTTTGTATTTTATTTTAAAGTTTGTGGTCATGTCGTCTGCATCGGAGGTGTATTGAGTCTTGAGTCTTGTGATTGCCGTCGTAGCGGTGCTAACAACAGGTGAGCTGTCAACTTTGACTGAAATTTAACACAACACCACAAACTCATTTTTACTGTATTTTATTTACACCACCAGTCAAAAGTTATTGAACAGTAAGATTTTTAATGTTACTTAAAGAAGTCTCTTCTTCTCACCAAGCATGCATTTATTTGATCCAAAGTACAGCAAAAACAGTACAATTTTGAAATATTTTTACTATTTAAAATAACTGTTTTGTTTTTGAATTTTAAAATGTAATTTATTCCTGTGATCAAAGCTGAACTTTTAGGATCATTACTCCAGTCACATGATCCTTCAGAAATCATTCTAATATTCTGATTTGCTGCTCAGAAAACTATTATTATTATTATTGTTATTGTTATTATTATGTTGAAAACAACTGAGTAGAATTTTTTTCAGGTTTCTTTGATGAATAGAAAGTTCAGAAGAACATCATTTATCAGAAATATAAATCTTTTGTAACATTTTAAATGTCTTTATAATCACTTTTGATCAATTTAAAGCATCCTTGCTAAATAAAAGTACTAATTTCTATAATTTCTTTCCCAAAGAAAAAAATTATACTGACTCCAAGCTTTTGAATGGTATAGTCTATAATGTTACAAAAGCTTTTTATTTCAGATAAATGCTGATCTTTGGATCTTTCTATTCATAAGAATCCTAATTCTGGGATGGTAAAAATCATGGTTTACAGTGCAGTACCATAATTGGATTGTTTTTTACAGGTAAAAATGTTTAAACTAAATGAAAATAAACTCTACAGTACTGATACTGTAAATGAAAATACGGTAATAATACTGTAAATAAAATACAGTAAAGACATTATTGTACTGTAAATGCAATTACAGTAATAAAACTGTAAACATTTTTACAGTAAATTACTGGCATCCAGCTGCCAGTAAGTTACTGTAAAATTTACAGCAACCACAGTGCGAAATTATCATGTAAAACTGAGTTTTGACATTAGTAGACAGCAGGTTTTCACAATATTTAGACATTTACTTTTGTATTTAGATTCTCACCAACATTTTTCTCATACAATATGTCAATGGATGAATGCAAGTTGGCATGTTTATTTTAAATAGAGGAGTGGGGTAAGATGTTTTTTTGTTTTTTTTAGGAGAAACAGATATCTTCATAAAAATGCTTCATGCACAAGCTTTACCCCTCTCATTATTTAAGACAGACTTACCCGGCAGCTATGTCGAAAGTCTTGCATGTCCTCTGCAGCTTTCATGTTCCTGCAACTCCTTCTGTGCAACACCTGTAAACAGAAATCCCAAATGAAACAGTTGTTTGTAAAATCTTTTCATATTCATAGATATTCATAGAAATAGAAAGTGGGAAGAATGGGAATTATTATAATACGAAGTTTCTTAAAACTGGTAGTGTTTATTCAATAATAATAATAATAATAATAGGCCTAATTACCTTCAGTTAGTTATGAATCTGATTAAAAAAAGGAAGCTGAGGACGGCGTAGATCACATGGAATGTTATAGAGCGTTATGTAAGCTAGCCTATAGTTCATAAATAAAATCAAAAATAGAACCAATGGATAAACAATAACTACTAACAAATGCAAGGATGTTACTACTGTGTGCACGTGACTGCGCGCTGTTGTAGGATTAATTACAACAACAAGAGAGACTACCAAATGAAAATCAAAATTGCATAGCACTTAAATCCAAGCATAGGCCTGCCTTCTTTCTTGGTGCTTTATGTTCGTATTCGTCTTCCCAAATTCGCACTCATTATCTGACTCCATGTTAAGTATATTGGTTGTAAACTCAGGGGCCTGATTCACAAAAATCTTCTTAAGACATTTCTTAAGATAAATTCCTAGAAGTTCGTAAGAATTTTCCTAAGTGCAATTCTCAAGAAAGTTCTGAAATATTTTCCTATGAACTTCACTCCTATTTTTCTCAAGAATAGAATGGCAGTTATCTGGTTAGGGCGGTTCTTGCTGAATACCGATCAGTTCAATGGAAAAAAAACCGTCTTTTGTGCTGCCTGCAGATTAATGCAGATTTTATTTTAAAAAATGTTTCGTGAACCCAGGCTCAGTTACTAAGACAGCGCCAAGTTCAAGTATATATATATATATATATATATATATATATTAAAAAACCTAAAGCAGACACAAGAATTCATGCAGACTCTACATGCCTATAAAGTGCTCAACCACTCCCACTGTCAAGAGAAAATTAAAGCTGAAGGTCACGGTGAACCGAAAGTACAGTTCAACAAGAATGACACAACTCCAGTTTACTCAAGGGTTGCCATGTCTTGCATTAATGTTCAGACTTAGACAAAAAGCAGGTTACAAAAAATCTAAAAGAAGGTCTAGACTAATCTGGCACATATTTTTGCTATTTTCAGGATCAAACTTTAATTATAATCATTAGAAGAATATTCTAAAAACAAAAATCTTTTTTTATTTTATTTGATATCTATTACATGTAGGCCTACTCGTCTTTGCAATATGTTCAGTGTGGTTTATAACATGCTCTATTTTAGCATCATATTTGCATCAGTAAAAGCAGAATTTTATCAGTGGGAAGACATTTATTTGCTTCAGCAGTAAAAATCTTAATAATAATAACAAACCAAAAAAAAAAAAAAATCATCTTTAAGAATAAAACCTCAACTTGAAAGTTATGAAGTTGCCTCTCTTCGGGAGGATGACTTGCATCTATTTTGTTCATTTCATGTTTGCTCTCATGGAAATCCACCCTTTTCTGCTCTTCTGCAATGCTACTCTCTTAATTCTCTTTAACTCCAAACTTTAATAATGATCTTGATAACAATATTCTTAAACCAAAAACTTTTTAAACAGCTTTAATATTCATTTGATTTCCATTACATGTTTAGTGTAGTTTATAACAGGCTTAATTTTAGCATTTTATTTTATTAGCTAAATTACATGATTAAATATTTAACTTTTCAAAACTCACACTTCAACTTCAGGCATAAAGAAATTTTCAATATTTCCAATTTCCAGTGTTCTCAAAAATAATTCATCAGAGTAGACAAAATCATAAAACTCATTTACAATCAAAACATTTACTGGTGCTAATTTTCATAGTGCAACTTTGCTTCATCACAATTTCACTACTTCATTTCCTGTAAAGCAGTCAGGCTTTAGTCAAAGATGTTTTGTCAGTGAAGAGATTACATTTACTTTTTTTTAGCAGTTAACAATTAACAATTTATCACTACAATCCATAAGAAAACAAAATAAGAAAAAAAAAAACATCAATATATTACATTTCCTACACAAAAATGACACACAAATGTACTTTTATGATGCTATTTCTTTTTCCTTCTGACAATCTGCTAAGCAAAAAAAAACATTCATCTTTAAGAATAGCATTTTAACTTAATTCATAAAGAACATTCCAATATATTTTCTGTGAATTAATTTAGAAAAACAAATATGAAAACTCATAAGACTAGCATTTACAGTGCTTGTTAGTTTTCCTATTACGTTTCATTAATCACCCTCATTTTTATGCTAGATGTCAGAATGATGACATCAAGCGATGAGACATGTTTGCTGGTGTTATGTAATCGATATCATCACAATCACTCATCTCTTGATGTTGCTTTACTACACTTTCATTTTCTGAGCTGCACTGACTGCTCTCATTTGCTCCCTAATAAGTCATATTTTTTTGCTGTCAATTTGTTTGGACTAACTGGCTTCACCCTTTACTGCTCATTTTCAGATTTTTCATGTTTATTTTCAGTTTAATCCTTTATTTCTATGTTATGAACCTGACATGAAGACCCCTCTTTAGTTTGGTGAGAACCACTAGCAGCATCATGACCATGAGACATGTTTGCTGGTGCTGTGTTTTCGTTATCGTCACTAACACTGACACTTGGAATAACTGGCTTATTCTTATTTTGGTGATCTTTTTTACTTTTCATCTCTTCAGGAGAATGACTAGCCTCTATTTTTTCAATTTCATGTTTGCTCTCATGGGGATTCAACCTTTTGTGGTTATCTTCTGATTCTTTATCTTCAGTTTCATCCTTCATTTCTACGTCATGCACCTGACATGAAGACCCCTCTTTAGTTTGGTGAGAACCACAAAAAGCATCATGACCATGAGACTTGTTAGCTGGTGCTAGGTTTTCGTTATTATCACTAACACCGACACCATCACCATCACCAACACTCATTTCATGATTTTGCTTTACTACATCCCCATTGTCTGAGCTGCACTGTCTGCTCTTATTTGCCCTCTGATCACTATTTATTTCAGTCAATTTGTTTGGAATAACTGGCTCATTATTATTTTGGTGATCTTTTTTACTTTTCATCTCTTCAGGAGAATGACTAGCCTCTATTTTTTCAATTTCATGTTTGCTCTCATGGGGATTCAACCTTTTGTGGTTATCTTCTGATTCTTTATCTTCAGTTTCATCCTTCATTTCTACGTCATGCACCTGACATGAAGACCCCTCTTTAGTTTGGTGAGAACCAACAAAAGCATCATGACCATGAGACTTGTTAGCAGGTGCTATGTTTTCGTTATTATCACTAACACCATCACCATCACCAACACCATCACCAACACCAACACTCATTTCATGATTTTGCTTTACTACATCCCCATTGTCTGAGCTACACTGTCTGCTCTTATTTGCCCTCTGATCACCATTTGTTTCAGTCAATTTGTTTGGAATAACTGGCTCATTCTTATTTTGGTGATCATTTTTACTTTTCATCTCTTCAGGAGAATGACTAGCCTCTATTTTTTCAATTTCATGTTTGCTCTCATGGGGATTCAAACTTTTGTGGTTATCATCTGATTCTTTATCTTCAGTTTCATCTTTAATTTCTTTAATTTCTACGTCATGCACCTGACATGAAGACCCCTCTTTAGTTTGGTGAGAACCAACAAAAGCATCATGACCATGAGACTTGTTAGCTGGTGCTATGTTTTCGTTATTATCACTAACACCATCACCATCACTCATTTCATGATTTTGCTTTACTACATCCCCATTGTCTGAGCTGCACGGTCTGCTCTTATTTGCCCTCTGATTTGTTTCTGTCAATTTGTTTGGAATAACTGGCTCATCCTTATTTTGGTGATCTTTTTTTCTCTTCTCTTCAGTTTGGTGAGAACCACTAACAGCACCATGACCATGAGACTTGTTTGCTGGTGCTACGTTTTCATTATCATCACCATCACTGACCCCAACACTCAAATCTTGATTTTTTTTTTTTACTACACCCTCATTTTCATTTTCACTATTTGTTTCTGTCAATTTGTTTGGAATAACTGGCTCATCTTTATTATGGTGATCTTTTTTACCTTGCATCTCTTTAGGAGGATGACTGGCGTCTATTTTGTTCATTTTATGTTTGCTCTCGTGGAGATTCACCATTTTCTGCTGATCTTCTGCACTACTACTATTATTCTCTGTTGGCTGGTCCAAGTTTTTGTTTTTGCAGTGCGCCACCTGACCTGATAGAATCTTCCTTGGGCCCCAGACAAAGTGTTCTCGGGGCTTGAAATGCTTAAAGGCAAATTTAACCAGCTCCCTTCTCTCTGACTTGTCCAATACAGCAAACATAAAGTAATCTAGTACACTTTGCTTCACATTTTGAAGCTGTCCCATGACAAGAGTTTCATTGAGGAAAAACTTGACCAGAGGGGCCTGGTAGTGCTTCAATCCTAGAGTCCCCAAACACTTCAGGATGCGTGTGATGCGCAAGTTGTTATGTGTATGTCTGCAAAATCAAAGGAAAAACAATTTAGCCCTAAAAGCGTTGAAACAACATCAACTGAAATGCAACAAATAGAAAAAAAAATATGACAGTAAAAACCTGTCCAGGTTTCTAAAGCGGTCCTTCCAGTTAGGAGCACGAGCCACCTCTCCTGTTGATTCATCGACCAAACATATGCCGTAGAAATCCAACATGAGCTTATATGATTGCACCAATTTGCTCTTTGCTTCTTTATCTTTACGGAAAAGCTGGAAAAAAAATGGAGCAGATTAATTTAAAGGGGTGGTTCATTGCGATTTCACTTTTTTAACGTTAGTTAGTGTGTAATGTTGCTGTTTGAGCATAAACAATATCTGCAAAGTTACGAAGCTGAAAGTTCAATGCAAACGGAGATATCCTCTTTTAAAATTCTGGCAGTTTAATGCCTACAAAAATGGCTGGTAGGGACTACAACAAACTCCTCAGGTAAATACTGCCACATTTCTTGCCTCATTTGAGTCATTGTTTTTTTAAAGGGGTGGTTCATTGCGATTTCACTTTTTTAACGTTAGTTAGTGTGTAATGTTGCTGTTTGAGCATAAACAATATCTGCAAAGTTACGAAGCTGAAAGTTCAATGCAAACGGAGATATCGTCTTTTAAAATTCTGGTAGTTTAATGCCTACAAAATTGGCTGGTAGGGACTACAACGAGTTACTTCCCGGGTTCATGGACATCGCAAACCCAGATAAACCCCGCCCTCGGGAAAAGGCAGCAAAGGGGGCGAGGCCATGCTGCGCTGCTTTAGAGAAGAGGAAGAGAAAACTAGAGGTGCACGTAAATATCTATTCATATATGAATCGCGATTCTGTCTTCTAACGATTCTAATGGATTCACAAGTTTCAAAATCAATGTTCTAAAGCAGAGGTTCTTAATACTGTTCCTCGCGTCCCCCTGCTCTGCACACGCTCTGCATCTCTCTCGCTCATTCAGCTCACTGTTCCACCTGCTCCAATTATACACTTATTTTCACATAGCTATAAGAAGCGTTATACATGGACGCGCGTGCAGTTGCCGTACTGTATTAAAGCTTTAATCAGGATAAAACCGTATATTAAAAGCTAACATATGCAGTAGCATTTACAAATAACAGCATATCTAAAATTATAAGACAACAACAAACAAAAAACTTAGGCCTACCATTAAAAGCCGTGCTTGCACAGGTTCTGCACGATCCTCTTCAATAATATCCCCTGCTTCTCAATCGGGCTCAAACTGATAAGCGATATTAAAGACGCCATTGTTTACAATACAACCGGAGCACATGCCGCTGAGGAGAGGGGCGGGACATTTAGACGCGCACTAGAGGCGGTTTAGCCAATCACAACAAACACACTGGGCTAGCTAACCAATCAGAGCCCATCGCCTATTTCTCAGCGCCCCTGTTCACAACTACAGCAACAGCTCCG